TATATATATATATATATATATATATATATATATATATATATATATATATAATATATATATATATATATATATATATATAAATATAATTGTACCCACAAACAGGTGGTATTGATCAATAACAACACTGTGACTAGCCAAGGAGTCGAACCCATGCTCCTTTGGCCAGCTTGGTGAGCGAAAACTCATGACGCTTTAGCCTACGGGACCACATAATCCTTAAGAATGGCGCATCCAGCCAAGCTAGATGTCGTACCCGCCATCCAAGGACATACGGTATTGTGGATCCCTCTACGATAATTTCATTCTACAGTGGATGGGCAACAATGTCAAGGGATAATCTAGCCTCTTGTTTTCTCTATATTAAAATATTACGCCGACGCTTCTGTCTCAGGTGAAAACGATGAAAATTAACTTGTCTAAAAATTAAAGTTACAGTATCGTTACTGGTACAATTTACAACTTATCCACAGACTGGAGATGATTCTTAAGACGATGTTTCGGTCCGTCTTGGACCATCATCAAATCTACGACTCATGGGGTTCATAACGGTCCGGAACGGGCCGAAACATCAACTAGTGTGACTCTCCAGTTAATGGGTTAGTTGTAAGTTTGTTGGCCTCTCTGTCCCGAGGAAAATATTTCAACAAACACTGTTTTTCACATACAAGTTCTGAGGAAGGGAAGTTGATAATATTAGTAGATCTTTTTTTTTTAAATTTGTTATTTTAAGCGTATTTTAAGGGGAATTCCACGATAGAGAATTATTAAGGAAGTATTAAACAGGCATATTAGGCTAAAATAAAATAAAAAAAACTGACATATTATATAAAAAGAGGGTAAAATATAGCAGAAGGCAAGAGTGAACCAAAAAGTTTGTCACCATCGAGCCTACTGCTATTATTCCAATTTTAAAGTCAAAATGTAATTTTCTCTTGTGCTGCATTAACTCGTACATATACACAATAACATATTTTTTCTTTACTGGATTTATTAAACTGTAAACTTCAGTATGTGGAAGAGATATTTCCAGCACTACTACGTATGGTAAGTGCTGGAGGCTGGTCCTCTACCATCCCCTCTGACGGGGTGCTTCCTGACGGGTGCTGGTGGGGGGGGGGGGGAATATTAAGTCTCTGGCTCGTCGGCGCCCCTCACTCCCCAGCAGTTGGGGCTCAGGGGCCATCTGGTAACTCACACCCCTGACAATGTCCCAGAGTAGTGTATGTAAACAGGCGATGAAGGGACAAAGGGAAGCACTGTTACCTTACCTCTTCACTGGCGGCTGCAGTGACCAACTCCTGCAAAGCACGCACGGACAGAGCCTGCTCGATTACGAACACACACTGACATAGGTCCGGAGGGTTGTTCTGCAAAGAAAAACATAAGTGTTAGTGACGCTGACTGTGCTACATAGCGTTTGGAAGAAGCTCCACCCTTCAGTGATTTGATATAAATAGCAAAGAAAAATCAGGGTTGAACTGTCACTTGTTTCAGCCAGATCATTTCGCAAGTTCTTTACAAAATTCATTATGATTTTTCTCGAATCAGAGTACCATTCAAGGGACAAGAGCTAGATCTCACAAATAGCCATAATTGTTGAGAGACTCTTCATGAAAACATTTGTAGTGGCAGCTAATGTTAAGCTTCCCTAGTACGTGTATACGTACATGAATGGACGGGAAGTCGAAGTGGTACCAGATCCAGTACTGTATAACTGGCCTACAAGGCTCTGTTTTTCAATAAATTTAACACATATCGAGACGAGTTAAACCAGTCATACACAACAACAGGTAATTATCAACATTTAATAAAGACCAGAATCTACTCATAGCTAATGAGTTAAATTGTCAACACTCAATAATTTAACAGTCTTGGCTGGTACGAGTCGTAGCCTAGCCTAGCCTAGCCTAGCCTCCTAGCCACTATAACTTGCCAACACTGACTGCCACCGATTCTAATGACTCACGAAATCGTAATGACACTACTGCAAACAAACCATACCACGGGTGGGGTTTGAACCTGCAGTCAGTCAAAATTCCAGACCGTCGCTTTAGCCACTGGCCCAGTGGCTAACGCGACTTTCTGACCATGGGTTCAAACCCCATCCGTGGGGTGGGGTTTGAACCCACTGAAGTTCAACTCTTCATCGGAAGACGACTTCAAAAGACTCTACCTGGAGATGTCCTGAGTTTAAGACCTTCATGTTTACCTCCTGGTCTCACGTTAAGCTGAGCGATATTTGGATCCACGAATTTTTTCAAGGCTGCATTTTCTGTGCGGGTCGCTGTCAAGACCAAGTACATCAACAAGGTGAACGGTGATCAAGACTTGCACTGTGCTCTCTCTCTCTCTCTCTCTCTCTCTCTCTCTCTCTCTCTCTCTCTCTCTCTCTCTCTCTCTCTCTCTCTCTTTCACCTGACTACGCATTAGGGATCTGGCATCTCAAAAGCAGTCTTAGAGATCTCACTAAATTTTTTCTCACGTTATATTTTGTTTATTTGTATTTGCTCCTTGAAACAAACTCTTATGAATAGTGAAAAAAAAGTTAAGAACTAAAACTAGCTTTTCAATTTTCCTATTCGAAAATAAGAAGAATTATATGATTTTTGGTTTGCATTTAGAATTTTATATGAAGGAAGACGGTGGGGGTCGTGGAGATGAGAACCAACTGTAATAGGCGGCGCCACCTAAAACAGGTTAAGAATCTTTTTTTGTGTCAAGAACCTATCTGACTTTTCATTTTCTTGGGACTTTCTTGTTTGTCAGCGACAATAAGGTTCATGGAAACCTTTTCTGTGATATAATTATACAGGGGAAGTTAAATACTGAAACTCCTGTTGTGGCCTGTGTATATGTGTTTGTTAGTTACCATTTTGTCCAAGGCACATGTCGATTAGACACTAGGCTGTTTTTTTTTGTGTGTGTGTGTGGGGTCTCTGTGTTGTGGTGTTGTGGTGTGTGTGTGTGTGTGTGTGTGTGTGTGTGTGTGTGTGTGTGTGTGTGTGTGTGTGTGTGTGGGGTGTGGGTGTGTGTGTGTGTGTGTGTGGGGTGTGTGTTATTGTTTGAGGTTGCGGGGGTCGAGTGTGGAGCTGTGTGCCCCGCCACACACTGATGTGTTACGCTCACATGTCCCCGAGCCGTGAGGGATGTATCATGGTCTGTAAAGCTATGTATTGTGTGGTGAGGACCCGCAAGTATCGCTATCCAACTTATTCCATGTTCTGGACAACTCTGTGGTTACGAAGCTTCCCAAGACACCCTGTCATTCACTGGTCTGAGAGGCTTCCAACTTGTCCCCTGATTTCATGTTATCAAAAACACTGGTACATCCTGTCTTTTTCCACCTTGTAATTCCTTTTCATATTGTGTATGTCGTTATTCTAAAAGTCCCCACTATTTGTTCAATTCCAGTTTCGTTCAAGGGATTTTAACCTTAACACTCCTCGTAGACATACCTTCTAGCTCAGACAAGTCTTATTAAAATTTTAAACTTTCTCTAGTTTTTGGTACTGCTTGTATAGGTGTGGGGTTTCAAACTTGATTCTCAGATTACCATAAATCCAATATTTAGCCTAACGTATACGGTTTACAGTCTGAAGTTCCATTAATTTAAAGAGTCGGATATGCTGTTCTGAGGTTTAGTAGGCGCCCGATATAGCTCAGCAGTTATTTAGGTTGATGTGCGCTTCAAGATCAGTGCTGTGTTATACTCACCCAAGATCTTTTCCTTGAGGATGAGGTTTGTAGTCTCTGTACACCCTAGACTGTACTCCGTTGCGGCCTTCTTTAGCCCTTCCCAATCTTCATGACTTTGCACTTGGTGGGATTGAACTCCAGGAGCCAATTGCTGGACCAGGTCTGCAGCCTGTTAGATCCCTTTGTAGTTCTGCCTGGTCTTCGATCGAGTGTATTCTTCTCATCAACTTCACGTCATCTGCAAACAGGGACACCTCAGAGTCTATTCCTTTCCGTTTATGTCGTTCACAAATACCAGAAACAGCACTGGTCCCGGACTGACCCCTGCGGGACCCCGCTGGTCACAGGTGCCCACTCTGACACCTCGCCACGTACCATGACTCGCTGCTGTCTTCTGACAAGTATTCCCTGATCCATTGTAGTGCCTTCCCTGTTATCCCTGCTTGGTCCTCCAGTTTTTGCACCAATCTCTTGTGTGGAACTGTGTCAAACGCCTTCTTGCAGTCCAAGAAAATGCAATCCACCCCCCTCTCTCTTGTCTTTACTGCTGTCACCAAAGTCATAGAACTCCAGTAGGTTTGTGACACAGGATTTCCCGTCCCCGAAACCATTTTGTGTGTGTGTGTGTGTGTGTGGGTGTGGTGTGTGTAGTGTGTGTGGTGTGTGTGTGTGGTGTGTGTGTGTGGTGTGTGTGTGGTGTGTGTGTGTGGTGTGTGTGTGTGTGTGGTGTGTGTGTGTGGCGTGTGTGTATGCACACGCACGCACACACGTATGTGTGTACGCTCACATGTCTGCAAGCATGCAGGCATGTGTGGTGGGGCGAGAGTGAAGGTATCATTGTGGTGGTCGAGGACAGGAAGTAGTCAGCATATCTCACCTTATCAGCAATGTTCTCCAGGAAGCAGGTGCGGTTACCGAAGCCTTCAGCAGCCAAGCACACCCTGTCACCGACGGCGGTACTGGAGAGGCATACCATGTCCTCCTGCAGAATACAAGCTTATCTTAGTAATGACACTGGTACACGCTGGCTGCAACAGTAAACACATATAATACACACTTCTAACATATTGCTGCCCTAATGTTACCAGCTGGGTTCTATTTCATAAATATTACCCACTATGATGTTCAATGTGAGGATTGCTTGGTACAATGGGCGTTTTAAAGCCTATCAACTACAGTTACACGTAACTTTCTCACCACCAAACAAGAATACTTTAACCATTAAAATATAAATTAAACTCTCAGCATATATATGCTGAGAGTAATATACCTCTGTGATATATGATGTGTGATAACTTAATCTCTCGGATATACCCATAATCGACAAATATTTAACACGCTATGTAATTACGTTCATTCAATGTAGAAATACGAAGAGAATAACTTTAACACCAGAGACGTAACTATAAGTATCACCAAAGACGTAACTATAAGTATCACCAAAGACGTAACTATAAGTATCACCAAAGACGTAGTTTAAAATAACACCAAGACGTAACTTAAAGTATCACCAAAGACGTAACTTTAAGTAACACCAAAGACTTAACTTAAAGTAACACCAAATACGTACTTAAGGATCACCAAAGACGTAGCTTAAAGTAACACCAAAGTTGTAACTTAAGTATACCAAAGACGTAACTTAAAGTAAAAACCAAAGTTGTAACTTAAAGTATCACCAAAAGCATAACTTAAAGTGGATGACATTATTTTTTTGTTGTCTCCAAGGCTTCTGTTTACAACCTGAGAATGCCTCATTCCAGTGGCTTCAACTTTTCGACGCTGGTGCAGAGTAACTAGCGGAAGGTTGATGCAGGTATTGGCGTGTACTGGTGACTAGGTTAATGATGGGGGGGGGGGGAGGGGTTAAAGCCTATCGTCTTCACGCGGGTCATTAAGGCTACATGTGACCTGTACACCACCAGTCAGGAATATTTTAAACCCCCCACGGTAAGCATTATACTCTTAGTGTAGGTACACTGAGAGACGTATACCTGTTAGTGTATGTACACTGAGAGACGTATATCTGTTAGTGTATGTACACTGAGAGACATACATGTTAGTGTATGTACACTGAGAGGCGTATACCTGTTAGTGTATGTACACTAAGAGACGTATATCTGTTAGTGTATGTACATTGAGAGACGGATACCTGTTGGTGTATGTACACTAAGAGACGTATACCTGTTAGTGTATGTACACTGAGAGACGTATATCTGTTAGTGTATGTACACTGAGAGACGTATATCTGTTAGTGTATGTACACTGAGAGACGTATACCTGTTAGTGTATGTACACTGAGAGACGTATATCTGTTAGTGTATGTACACTGAGAGACGTATATCTGTTAGTGTATGTACACTGAGAGACGTATACCTGTTAGTGTATGTACACAGAGACGTATACCTGTTAGTGTATGTACACTGAGAGACGTATACCTGTTAGTGTATGTACACTGAGAGACGTATATCTGTTAGTGTATGTACACTGAGAGACGTATACCTGTTAGTGTATGTACACTGAGAGACGTATACCTGTTAGTGTATGTACACTGAGAGACGTATACCTGTTAGTGTATGTACACTGAGAGACGTATACCTGTTAGTGTATGTACACTGAGAGACGTATACCTGTTAGTGTATGTACACTAAGAGACGTATATCTGTTAGTGTATGTACATTGAGAGACGTATACCTGTTAGTGTATGTACACTGAGAGACGTATATCTGTTAGTGTATGTACACTGAGAGACGTATACCTGTTAGTGTATGTACACTGAGAAACGTATACCTGTTAGTGTATGTACACTGAGAGACGTATATCTGTTAGTGTATGTACACTGAGAGACGTATACCTGTTAGTGTATGTACACTGAGAGACGTATACCTGTTAGTGTATGTACACTGAGAGATGAATATCTGTTAGTGTATGTACACTGAGAGACGTATACCTGTTAGTGTATGTACACTGAGAGATGAATATCTGTTAGTGTATGTACACTGAGAGACGTATACCTGTTAGTGTATGTACACTGAGAGACGTACACCTGTCAGTGTATATATTCTGCTACATATACTGGTTCCCTCTGGTCAGTTTTATATACATCATTTGCAGTTGTAGGATTGTTAGTCGAGCCAGCAAGCGACACATTGCCAGTTTCACTATTAAAATAGTGTGGTCTCATATTTGGCAAAATACCTCGAGAACGCCTCTTCTGAAGGGCTTCAAACTTAACAGCTGAGGCATCTGGCGAAGATGATAGCTTATGAATTTAGGCTTTATAGGAGAATATTTGACAATTTAGTTAATAAATTTGGAACCATCATCAACAGTGCCCAGAAGTAGACAGGTAAACAGACATACAACGTTTAGCACGGTTAATAAGTTTAATATACATCATTAATATTTCTCTTGTCTCCTCAGTATTTCAGCTGAAAAAGACTTAAACACTTTTGAAACATTTGGGAATCTTTATTGTGGCTTCCTCAGTCCAGCGCAAAGATGAATGGTGGAAGATGTGAAGAAGTTTGGGGTAATCAGTCCCTCGGGCTCGAGGCGATGTGTTCAGTCCACCAACAAAGATTCCCAAATGATGCACAAGTGTAGATCTAATTCTTGAACTTGTCGGTCTTCTAAACCATTTACATCACCTGAAGAAGGTTGCTCAGCGGGCGAAACGTCTCGTCAATAAACACGTCAAGGTACTGCACATGCGTCAGTCTTGAGAGTACCTTTACCTCTGATATACCTTTGATGAATTCCCGGAGCCCGGCCATGGGCCAGGCTCGTCTGGTGCTTGCCTGGTCAACCAGGCTGTTGCTGTTGGTGGCCCGCTGGCCCATATATCCATCACAGCCTGGTTGATCCGGCACTTGGTGCTGGATGCCGTAGCTATAACTGGAGAATGCGTCTATTGGTCGGCTTGAAACTCTCAGCGGTGGTGGTGAACTTTGCGCGCAGGTAACCAACCAACCTCACGCTGGTCTTGGGTTGTGTAGGTTTTAATTTGTGGGTTTTGTGAAGGAAATTGGTTTCCGTTCGATAACTTGAGAATGTCTCTTCTGATCGGCTTCAAATCTTGATTGCTGGGTGGATGAGGGAAGGGGCGGATGGAGTGGGCGGGGTGGGTGGAGTGGGCGGGGCGGAGTGAGTGGTAGGTGTTATTAGATGACGGAGGTGTGGGCGGGGTGGGTGTTTCCGGGGTGGGATGGGCGGGTTGGGAGGTGTGGGCGGGATGGGCGGGGTGGTACTACTGAGGGAGGCGCGGGTGGGGGAGGTATTGATCCGGTCGCAGTGCAGCACTTGTACCGCAGCACACACACACACACACACACACACACACACACACACACACACACACACACACACACACACAAGTGACGGGTACAGCAGCAACCTTATTCACTCATATTAGACAGGTCGACTAACACCTGTCTAACCCATCTTCGTTAGACAGGTACTTCTAATATAGTCATGTACCTCTAACCCACTTTTAAAGATTCGTTAAACAAGTACTTCTAAGACACTCATGCACCTGTCTAACTCACCTTCATTAGACAGGTGCTTCTAATACACTCATGTACCTGTCTAACCCACCTTCATTAGACAGGTACCTCTAACATACTCATGTAACTGTCTAACCCACCTTCGTTAGACAGGTACCTCTAACATACTCATGTACCTAACTAACCCACCTTCGTTAGACAGGTACCTCTAACACTAATGTACCTGTCTAACCCACCTTCAAAGCCTCGTCAGACAGGTACTTCTAACACACACGCACCTGTCTAACCCACCTTCAAACCCTCGTCAGACAGGTACTTCTTCTAACGCACTCATGTATCTGTCTAACTCACCTTCGTCAGACAGGTACTTCTAACACACTCATGTACCTGTCTAACCCACCTTCGTCAGACAGGTACTTCTAACACACACGCACCTGTCTAACCCACCTTTAAACCCTCGTCAGACAGGTACTTCTTCTAACGCACTCATGTATATGTCTAACCCACCTTCGTCAGACAGGTACTTCTAACACACTCATGTACCTGTCTAACCCACCTTCGTCAGACAGGTACTTCTAACACACTCATGTACCTGACTAACCCACCTTCAAAGCCTCGTCAGACAGGTACTTCTAACACACGCACCTGTCTAACTCACCTTCAAAGCCTCGTCAGACAGGCACCACTAACACACTCGTATACACCTCTAACCCACCTTTAAATGCCCCGGCACTTTGTTCCACTCACATCTATCACAGCTTTCCTATACCCTTCATGAAGCTGTATTTGCTCAGCTTTAAACCATTGTTTCCAGGCTCGTGTTGGGTTAATATTTTTTAATACCTTATGTATATCCCCTTTACTTACGCCTCTCTTAACCTTCCTGCCATACATTCATTCATATTTTACCCTTATTCTAACCTCCTACAAGACTTGTTATTCGTGGCTTTCAAAAAAACATCGCAAGAATGATTTCTGCGACGGAGGACTGAAGCTATCATTCTCACCAGCATGCTGTCTACGTCGTCTATCATGCGTCGCATCATCTTGATGAGGTGTGACATTGCCTTGGAGCTCGTCTTATTGAGATTTCTTCAATATCAAGACAATAAGTCTGTAAGTCTTAATGCTTCTTGAATAAGAAGACAATAAGTCTATAAGTCTTAATTTTTCTTCAATGTGAAGCCAAGAAGTCTATAAGTCTTGACATTTCTTGAATATAAAATCAAGAAGACTATTATTCTTAAAGTGAATTCTTTTCCAATGTTATCTTGACTTAAGATAGTTATTAACAGTCAATCATATCCATGGATATGAAGATACTGGTAGTAGTTACTGGATAAAGTCCGACCTTGGGCGAAACGTCGCCTTGGAAAAGTATTCGCTGCTACCATTGTCTTGATTTCAACTTGCCGGCTCCTGCCATGATCTATTTCAGTCGTATTCATGTTGCAAGTCATCCAAGCACGTCATCCACGCA